GTAGCCCATGGCAACCCACTGCAGCAGGGGCTGCAGCTTATGCCTCGCTGGCGACTCACGGCAGCCCAGCTCCAGGTTGAGCTGTTGTTCAGCATCTTAGCTGTGGAGGGCAGTGTCACTGGCCCTCATAAGTGGGATCCAAACTGAGGCCCTCTGGCGTCCCAAGCCAGCTCTTAACCAACACGCCACTCGACCGGCCCCACTCCCTGTTTTTTATCCTAGTGAATTGCTTCATCATCATCAGCTTGCCACTTCTGTCCAGTCTAGGTTAAGTCCATGCAATAGGGACTTGTGATTAATTTTTCAGTAGCTTTCTCTCTGATAGATTGTAGACTCTACAAAAGCATAAAATTTTCCTTACATCCCAGTTGTTGGCACATGGTGTGAATAAATAGATAAGTACTTATAGTTGTATTCTAATACATGTACTTACCAACTTTTACCTGGCCCATTGCAGTAGTAGCCTTTTCATTTTTTAGCCTGTTGTTGTGATGGATTACGTTAATTGATTTTTAAATGTTGAACCAGCCTTGCATACCTGGAATAAACCCCACTTAGTTGTGGTGTGTATAATTCTTTTTATTCATTGATGGATTTGATTTGCTAATATTTTGTTGAGGATTTTAGCATCTATGTTTATGAGATAGGCTGGTCTAGTTTTCTTTCTTGTAATATCTTTGTCTGATTTTGATATTTGAGTAATCCTGGACTGACTCATAGAATAAGTTAGGAGTATTCCCTTTGCTTCTGTTTTGAGAAAGAGATTGTAGAGAATTGGTATAATATTTTCCTTAAATGTTTGGTAGAATTGACCAGTGAATTCATATGGCCTGCTACTTTTTTTTTTGGAAGGTGATTGATTACTGATGCAATTTCTTTAATAGATATAGGCCTATTCAGATTGTCTGTTTCTTCTTGTGTGAGTTTTGGCAGATTGTGTCTTCCAAGGAATTGATCCACTTCATCTAGATGAAATGGATTTGTGGGCATGAGTATTTCATAGCATTTATTCCCTTATTATTTTTTCAGTCTCCATGGTATCTGTAGTGATGTCCCTACAGATACCATTTCATTTTTGATACTAGTTATTTATGTGTTCTTTGTTTCTTTCTTAGTCTGGCTAGAGATTTGCTGCCTTTTATTTTAAATACAATTTTTAAGTGTAAAGTATAATAGTAACTGTATTCACATTGCTGTAAAACGTATCTCTAGAGTCATTTCATTTTGCAAACCTGAATTTCTATACCCATTGCGCAAGTTTCCCATTTTCCCCTCCCCACCAGTAGAGACTTACTGATTTTGATATTTAGAAAGAACTAGCTTCTGATATTCACTATTGATTTCCAGTTTCCAGTTTCATTGATTTCTGCCCTGATTTTATGATTCTTCTTCTGTTATTGTAGATTTAATTTACTCTTTTTTTCTAGATTTCTAAAGTGGAAGATTAGATGATTGATTTTAGATCTTCTTTTGTAATATATATACTGAATACTATAAATTTCACTGTAAGCAAATGTTGTTGCTATGTCCCTCAAATTTTGATAAGTTATATATTTTTTTTCATTTTGTTCAGTGTATCTGTTAATTTCTCCTGAGATTTCTTATTTGATCCATGTGTTATTTACAGGTGTGTTTTTTAATCTCCAAGAATTTGGGATTTTCCAGCAATTTTTCTGATACTGATTACTAGTTTTAATTCCCTTGTGGTTTGAGAGCATATATTATATGTTTTCTCTTCTTTTAAATTTGTCAAGGTGTACTTTATGGCTCTAAATGTGGTCTATTTTGGTGAATGTGTTCTCTGCTGTCAATTGGATGCAGTCATCTGTACATTACAATAGCCTTTTTGTTGGATTTACTATAGGCTGAGCCTTGTCCAATCTATATTTTAGGTAGTTTCTATAGTGAACTTCCCAAAATGAGGTTTATACTTCTCACTCCCCTATTACAACTTCTTCAGAAGTTCCCTGTTGCCAAACAGCTAAAATGTACCCTTTTGCATGGGCTGAGAGAGCCTTCATAATCAGGTCTCATCCAGGTCCTTACACAATAATTTAAGCCCACTTCATTCTTTAATCAAAGCACATTACTTTAGTTGTCCATGACCAACTATTATTTTTTCTATTACTTCTGTACATGTTGTATGTACCTATAACATTCTTTGTTTGGCAATCTACCACTTTTCACTTCTCAGTTTAAAAGCTTTCTCTTTTGTGTGATTTTTATTATGGTACCTAACTTATTTTGCCTTTCTTTGCTGGCAAGACTGTAAGGTCTCTTTTGTGGAGCCTGTCTAATTAAATATGTTCTGAGTGAAAAGACATACTTTTTTTAATTGAGCAAAAGTTTAAAGTGGAATGCTCTCAGAGTCTTGAATAACCTTGTATAACTCACAGCCCATTGAGATTCAGAATTTTCAGCCATTCTAGAAGGTTTCTTTGTGTTTCTTCCTGATCAATCCCCTCTACAATCGTTCTGATTTTTTTTTTTTTTTGTCATAGACTAGTGTTATCCCTTGGGAACTTCATGTGAATGGAATTATTTGTAGCTCTTGCGTCTGCCTTGTTCTCATTATAATGTTTTTGCAGTTTATCCATGTTGGTTTGAGTGTATCAATAAGTGCTTCATTCCTTTTCATTGTTGATTAATATTCTGTTGTTTTATTATCTTAAATTTTGTTTATTTTTCTTTTATGGTTATTTGTGTTATCTCTAGTTTTCAAACTTTATGAATAAAGTTATTATGAACATTCTTGTACAAGTCTTTTTTCATTTCTTTTGGGTACATTTTTATAGAAGTTAATCATTTCTCTTTATTTTATTTGATCTGGTATCTATCTTTGCATCAGTATTACGCTATCTTGATTGCTGTATCTTTTATAGTAAATATTAAAATCAGGTAGTGTAAGTCCTCCAATTTTGTTATTCTTTTGCAAGATTGTTGTTACTATTCTAGATCGTTTGCATTTCTATGTAAAATAATAGAATCAGTCTATCATTTTTTTATAGAAAGAACCAACTGGATTTTGATTGGAGTGCATTGATTCTATATATTCAATTGATGAAAACCAATATTTAAACAATACTGGCTTCCAATCCATGAACATGACACAAGTATATCACTGCATTTATTTACGTTTTATTACATTTATCTTAGTATTGTTCTGTAGTTTTCAGTGTAGAGTTTTTGGATATATTTTGTTAAATTTACCCCTAAATATTTCATTTTTTGGATACAATTGTAAAGATATTTTTAAAAATTTCAGTGTGTTAATTGTTCATGACTAGTATATAGATGCAGTTGATTCTTTTTATATTGACTATCCTGTGACCTTGTTATAAATTATAAGTACTTATTAGTTGTTGTAGTTATTTAGGTGTATTCACGGTCATATTGTCTAATCATATTGTTTAGACATTTTACATCTTCCTTTCTAATCTAGGTCATTTTACTTTTTCCTTCCTTATTGCATTGACTAGGGCATCCAGGACAGCGTTGAATGTAAGTGGTAAGAGTAGACATCTTTGCCTTGTTTCTGACCTTTAAGGGACTCTGTTCAGTTTTTCACCATTAATTATTTTAGGTGTAGGTTTTTGATAGATGATCTTCATTAGTTGAAGAAGTTTTCTTTCTAGTTTGCTGAGCGTTTTTTAAAACTATGAATGTGTGTATACCTTCATCAGATGCTTTTTCTCCATCTATTAGATGATCATATGATTTTTTTCCCTCCTTATTAATATAGTGAATTACATTGATTTTCAAATGTTAACCTTGCATTCCTGGGATAAATGTATGTCATCCTTTTTTTATGTTGTTGGATTCACTTTACTAGTTTTATTTTTTTTTTCTGTATTTGTTTATGAGGGTTATTAGTTTTTTTGCACTATCTTTGTTTTAGTTATACTTGCCTCATTATAAATGAGCTGGGAAGTATTTCCTCTTCTATGTTCTGAAAGTGTTTGTGTAAGATTGGTATTATTTCTTCCTTACATATCTGATAGGCTTCATGAATAAAGCTAACCTGGGGCTGAGTTTTCTTTGTGGGAAAGGTTTTAATTCCAAATTCAATTTTTAAAACATATAGAAGGCTACTCAGATGTAAAATTTTTTTCTTGAATCAGTTTTGATAAACTGTAGTTTTCAAGGAGTTTGTCTATTTCGTCTTAATTGTTGAACAAAAATTTTCGTGATATTTTCTTATTTTTTTATTGTCTAAAGGATGTATAATTTCTTCTTTCTTATTTCTGATAGTGGTAATTTGTTTTTTTCTTGGTTAGTTTGGGAAG